AAATCCCATATGTTTATATTGAAAATGCCGCCATCTTGTTCCCAACCTCTTGTTACTTTTAAATATGAATATATAGGATTTAGGTGAACATCCATCATAAAACATGGAAAACAACGTATTTGATGAACCTAATAATGGTCATCAAATATGCCGATTTTAATTTTTTATGATAGATGTCTATTTAAATCTTATATATTTAATATATTAATATTTGAAAGTAACAAGAGGTTGGGAACAAGATGGCGGCGGGAACTCTATTGTCGCCACTGTATGTAAAGGTTTATTTAGCCACTGTAGGAAATACTAACTAGCAATACACACAAATAAAAGAGCGATGTCCTGATACAACAAATCCAGTATTATAAAACCAGAAAATGCTTGGGGTTTTCGCGAGTATTTACAGCCACGAGTCTTTTATGCTTACACACATTAAATGAAACTTTAATTTACACTTATAACACTAGATAAATCCGAATTTACGATAAAATAGTTGTCAGCACAAACTAAACATCATTCGTATCAGCGGCCATCTTGAAACTCCGGCATGCGCGTGACGTCACAGCAATTGTGAACAAATTTAGCCGATTGAGCAACTTGACCGTAGCCTAACTTGTACCTTGCTGTGATTTGATTTGTGTTGTCTGTTGTTCATGGTCAGGGACAGAGGATTTGCTTTTTTACTATTTTTTGAACAATCCATATTCACTTGAACACAACAAAAATAATAAAATAAACAATAAACATAACATAACCTATTATTCGACGGCGTTATTTTTAGACGTTATTCGAAATAGCGCTTAACGTAAATGCTGGGTAAATTACGTTATGCGGTAACGTTATTTTAGTACGTAGTGTTAAAAATCGAATCGCGCATAGATTTAATTGTCAAAATAACGTAGGCGCTAATACTGCATGACACTATTTGGGTTACCGATATCTCTCTAATTATCGTAGAATTCGTTGTTTTTTGAACTTTTGGTTCCATTATGTTAACTACTTAAAATTTATACTGTAGAGTCGCCTTACAACGTTAACTTGACCGGATTCTATTTTCCAAAATATTGCACGCCATCGTCGGATAATGGTCGTATAAATACCATCAAGTTGCGTGGTACTTACAACGTTTATACAACGTTGAATTATGTATCTGTGCAAGAAAAAACTAATAATTTTTTTTTTCTTCCCTTTTGATAGATAACCTTTGTAATAAAAATTATTGTGGAAATGTGGAATTTTTTGTTAGTTGCAAATAGGTATGTAATCTAAAATATCTGATGATACATTATCATATACAGGGTGTCCCACGACGTTTCTCTCAGGTGATAACTTCGGAACGCGTCATCCAATATAATTGAAAATTTGAGGATCTGGGTAACTTTTTATGCCGCTTTTACCATTGTCATCCAATTTTACAATTTTTGCTTCAATTTCGGTCAAGTGACGTCAACTTTCGAATCTTAAATACAACTCATGGTATATTATGGTATTTTTGGTTAGAAAATTAAATTACAAAATCGGCTATGCCATATTTGTTGAGGCTTTGTTAAAGGATATGACAGAAAATTATACAGTGGAACATACGATGATGCGTTCCGAAATGATCATTTGGGAGGAACCTCGTGGGACACCCTGTATATTGACGCATGTAGAACACTATATAGTGAACTGGCATGAATAAAATTATGTTTATCATATATTATCCTTATAGGCAGGGGCGCCGACTACGTGGGTGCTCGGGGGCTCGAGCACCCACGAGACCTAAACAGTGGGTGCGAAGCACCCACGAGCATAGACTTAAAAACTGATAATCCTCTCTAGTTCCTGGAAAACTGGTTAATTTTGTACCTCGGGTTCCTGAAATCTGGTTAACCAAATGTCAAGATAGTTACCGGTCATCGGATGTCGGTTCTGTTGGTTTTATCAAGGTTTTATCTGTAACTTTTGTCAATTATGTTTTATTTCCATATTTGCGTTCCCCAAAGTAACCAGAATTTTCAGTAAACATCTGTTGACCGAGTCGGTTACTTTAGCACTGTTCCAGCAGACATGAAAACCTTTCTAGAACGGTAATTTCCAGTCGATCAATCCAATTGTCAATTAGGAAAAACGTTCAACTTATTGAAAAATAGGTGGGCAACTGTAAATTATTGGTTCTGGAACGGTTCTCATGTCTGTTGGAACAGAGCTAATGGTTAACGTTTGGTTATATTTGGATCATAGCCTTATATAAGTTATGTTCCGATATCAACTCTGTCAGTACTGAATTTACTGGACGCCGTTCCGATATTATTTTCAGTACACTGGATTCAGTCGATTCAGTACTGAATGACCACAAGAGTACCCTGTTGAAATTGGAACGGCAAATGACAGTAAAATCAGCACAGTAAAACTAGTACTGGCAGTTGATATCGGAACATGGTGGTACTTTGTTTAGAAGAAGAAGAAGATGAAGAAAATCAGAAATCTTTTATGGAGAACATCTGCGTTTTACGATTTTCGGTACATGCTGCTTGGAAAAGAATATCTGCAGGAGAGTTTTCCACACTTTACAGTAGAGTGTTTTCACAGCTATCAGACTAATACCTACCTCTACCACGTAAAAACCCCCCTCCAGCACAGCCATCATACCACTACCCACCTCCACTGTACCCCCTTCCGTGAAGCTCCTACCCTGAGGAGGCACTTTTTACCCACCTGCACTTTAAACCCTCTTCCGTAAAGCCCTCCATTAATCTATTTTCAAAAGGCTCTTACCCTGAGATGGCACTTTATTATATCCCTTCACTTTCTTGAAAACTAAAGAATATTTAACCAATTCTTCCATTTGTATTCGAATTCGTCAATTTTGGGGTTGGCCCGGGTCAAATCCCCAAAATATCAGATCAAAAGCGCCGCCGATCTAGAGATTTTTCCACGGTATCGAAAAACTTTCCAGACTCAAGTGCCCCCGGCTATCAGACCAATACCCACCTCTACTACGTAAGTGGTCCACCAGATTCACAAGCAAAATGTTATTATTGCAATAAAATTAATCTCATGGAGTTTAGAACACTTTTGACGAATACAAATGCAGGAATTGTTGAAATATTCTTTAGTTTTCAAGAAAGTGAAGGGATATGGAAAGAGGTACCTCTTCAAAGTAGAAGCTTTTTGACGTAGTGGAGGTGGATATTGCTCTGATAGCTTTAAGGTGGTTATTGGTCATAAACAGGTGCATTAATTTTATTGCAATAATAAATATTTTGCTTGTGAATCTGCTAGTCTGATAGATACCGTGGAAAAATCTTTAGATCGGCGGCGCCTTTTGAAAATAGATTAATGGAGGGCTATGATGGCTATGCTGGAGGGGGGGCTTTTACGTGGTAGAAGTGGGTATTGTTCTGATAGCTGTGAAAACACTCTACTCTTTACCCTTATAGCCGTCCTTTTTTTCCCGTTTTAGCAGACACTGCAAAAAACTTACGCAAGCACCAAGCAACACTAGTTCCCGCAGCTGGAAAACGAATATGGAAAGTGTGAACTACGTTGTTTGAAATGTATTACCATTCCCTTCTTAGATACTCGTCCGAATGTAAATTGAAGAATGCTGGTAAACGTTTTTGGGCGTGGCTTCTGGAGAAGTTATTTTGCCACCGGCATGCTGTTCACCCCCCCTTATAAATGCCAGTGCATGAACATCAGCACCCACGAGGTTTTCTGAAACCCGGCGCCCCTGCTTATAGGTGCTTAATTTGAATGTGTGCAATATAAAAATAACTACATTGAAACTTTTTCAATTAAAACACTGTTATTTTTAAACAAAAAAATATGATAATTTGAAGCAAAAACATAGTTTCATCTTGCTTCATTATGTATAAAATCTATAAGTAGATTCCTAGAACTTAAAGTTACTCTATCGGTTTTTTTTTTTCAAATTATTGTAATTTCATGTTTATTAATTTCAAATTATTACCTACCAGGAAGTCTTTTTACTGGAAATTACTGAAATAATTAAACATGTTTTCGTTTTTTTTTTTTCTGCGAACTATCGGCTCGTATATGCAAAAACCACAAATTAGAGCAAAAAAATCTTTGCAATTACGAATAATGAAGGTATATTTAGTTGTGCACCTTTATAGAAAATTAAAAAATATTTCCATTGTTTTTTCAAATAAGTACACATTTTTATCTTTTTAACGAAAATAGCAGAAATCTTCAAAAAAATTTAATAACCTAGTTTTGTACAATATTGTATAGTAAAAAACCGCTTATTTACAAATTCCCACACTGTTTTATAGGTGTTGGATTATGATACCACTAATCCTTATTTAAATTTCAAGCCCCTAATAAACTAATACTTTGTGCTTGTTATGTTAGTTTACGCAATAAACTAATTATGATTAATAAAATTATTGCTGATTTAAATTACGCCAATTTGTTTTGATTTTTCAATTAAGTACCCTCCAATTGAGCAGATTACGGAAAGAATGGATAGATGCTTAACTATGGGATTTCATCAAGTCATGTTGATTGGCGTCAATGGATTTATCAAAATTTGAGTGGGTAATTACAGGATATAGGTACCTACATTTTTGTTTCAATTTTGCAAACTAAGTACCTTTTCCCATAGATTTCTAAACATATAGATAGATATAATGTTTTCAGAAATTTTAAAATTTATGAAGGGAACTGGACCCCCAATTATTTTGAGTACAATTAGGAAACTGAATTTGAAGAATGCAAATATGTTTTTCTTATTCTACAAAAAATACCATGCATTTTATATTCTTACTAGAGGATTCTACCCATATATGTTTGGAAATGCTGCATAATCCATGAAGTGTTACTTTGTCTATTTTTTTTTTCCAAGAAAATACGCTTTATCATCGCGCCATTGACTTATTTTGTAGTTAAAACATATAAATAGATATTTCCTGTAAAAATAAAGGTCGTTAAACAATAATATTGATAACGGCAATTGATTTAATAGTTTGAATCGTCAAAATTTATAAGGCTGATGTAATGAACACATGCCAATCATTTTACTTTCATTGATGATATTGCGTTTTGGAGAGTAACTTACAATGCTTCAAAAAAAAAAAATTAACTCTAAAATCAAATAAACATTATTAATTCATTAAGGATTAATTAGTTTATTGTTTTACAAGAAGTATAAAAGTTAACAAACTATTTTACGATTCAACAAATACATAGCAACAACAGAAATATCATAAAAAGTAATTTGACACAAACAAAATACACTAGATTCAAAATTTAAACATTAGCTAAGCAAGGTCATGAACGCTAAAATTTAGCCGAGCAGTGTATAAACATCCAGTAATTGAACAGAATATGTTTTTAATCAAGCTCATTATTCCTAAATATATATAATCCAATATATATCGTTTTCGTTTGCTATATAAAGATACAAACTTTTACACTGAGATAACTCAGTTCAAGCTCGGTCTCGAAAAGATCAAAATCGTCTAAGGTCGTCCACCGTATCGTTTTGTGCTCGAGCATTATAATAAAACATCAAGGTAACATCTTATTTAACAGTTTAAATAGTTTTAAATTTAGAAACATTTATTTTGAGATGATGGAAATATTTATATTCCAATAGTTTCTGTATGTATATTTTTTTATCCAGGAACCTCATCAAAATTCAAAATGCCCAGCTTAGAACCCGAAGTTCCATTCAAAAAAGCCACCTTCGGCATGGGATGCTTTTGGGCTAACGATGCACTTTTCGGTGGCCAACAGGGTGTACTGCGTACCAGGGTTGGATATTCTGGTGGTACCACTCCAAATCCAGTATACAAAAAAATGTAAGTGCAGTTTAATAATGGTTCATGTATAATTTTATTAAATATACCTCGTATGTATATATTGTCACAAAATGAATGTTCAATTTTTAGAAGCGATGATGGCTCTTTAGCTACTACAGCATCTAGCGATTCTGTGCCCAGTACTAGTATTAGAAATGCAAATCCAAGGTATTCCTATTCAATTTTTTTGGGACATTGTGGTGTATTGAGTAATTAATTAATTTACTATACAAATTGTTCAAGTTAATATTTTTGTTCCCTTGGTTGATGTAGTTTAGCTTAGAATTCCACAAAATTTACAGGGACTAGCAGTTCCTAACTTTCCTCATAGACCTTAAAATTTATAATCCGGCTAAAATAAAACTCATATGAGAAATGAAATTTTACTGATATTACGCCACTACAGTTATATTAGCGAGTTCGTTTTTAATTAACAACAAAAATTCAGGGTCACTTATTTGTCGCAGTATCACGGAAGAACATTTCTAATACTATTGAATATCATCCTTCAAGTATAATAGAATAAAAATAAATTAATCTAAATTCATTATAGGGGCGACCATACCGAAGTAATAGAAATCGATTACGATCCTACCACAATCACCTACAAACAACTGCTCAAACTGTTCTGGGACAATCACGAATACGGTTTGACCACCATCATCAAAAGACAATACATGTCGTTGATCCTCTACCACGACGAAGAACAAAAACGTATCGCCGAGCTGGACATTAAAATCGAAGCTGGTAAAAGGAATGAGAAGTTGATTACAGAAATAGCAAAGGCTGGACCCTTTTATCCTGCGGAAGAGTAAGTTTGTTTCAAACTTCCTGGCTCATATTAATAAATAATATTTATAGTTACCATCAAAAATATCGATTGCAAAAACACCAGTGGATTGTCGAGGAGCTCAATATTACTCCGGATCAACTCCAGACGTCTCACGTAGCCGCTAAATTGAACGGGTACGTCTCAGGTGTTGGCAAGCACGAAGACATGAAAAAAGATATGGAACTGCTTGGGATCCCTGAAAAGATTGCCAGCTTCGTGAAAATCCAGTTTTTGGAAAACGAGGGTGGAGCCCTCTACTGCTAAAGTCTAAAATAACATCGTTGATATTAGTTTTTTTTTTATAACCTTCCACTCTCATTATAGTTCTAGCCCTATAGTTCTCAGCGATAGCTGAGTTCTGTTAGAACTTTATCTGGGTAAGGCCTCTACTTACGTTTCATGCTTGTGTGTCACAGAAGATTTAAGCTGGTAACAAGCAAAAGAAATATTCGGGCCTACCCTGATCAAATATCATTACATCATTTTCTAATTTCTAGTTCTTATAATTTTGATACAAAAATTGTTTCCTGTGGAAAATTTTAGTTATATTTTAAATTTTAAAATAAGGGGAAGAATAAACTCAGATTTGCTAAAATTTAGTTTTGTTTAATTTTCGCAGACGCCTCTTTTTAGTTTGGGCTAGATGTGGATTATGAATTGCAAAAATGATTTATAGAAAAGCAAAATTTATTATTTACAAATCAATAAGGTTTTCGTGAATGTGAGGGATAAGTCAGGGAAATATCCATGATTGGTTCAAAAACTACTTACATCAAAGACAACAATAAATTTTGTTTAAATTCTCCACATAAGAAAGCTCTCAAACAACAAAAAATGTGGTGTACCAGAACGGTCAGTGTTAGGGCCAAAGCTTTTTCTAATTCACATTCACTCAATATCAAAGCCGAAATTTTCAGCGATTTTTATCCGAGTGGAGGACTACAATCCCTGAAAATTTCAACTCATCACTTATAGTTCCAGAAATAAAATCGCGTTGAGAAATTTTGGGTAATTTATCGATTTTTCTGAGTGCCTTTTCCCATAGATTTTGGCCTCAAATCTCAGAATAATTTAGTTTATAGAGTTTGAGTGGTCCCAAATGATCATTTAGACACAAAATCTCAACATCAAAAAATTTGAAATTTCATCATACTTAGGACCACAATCCCTGAAAATTTCAGCACATTTGGACTTATAGTTCCAGAAATAAAATCGCGTTAAGCAATTTGGGGTGTATATTTAGTGTATGGAGTTTGGGGGATCCTCAATGATCATTTAGACACAAAATCTCAACATAAAAAAAAAAATAACTTTCATCATTCTACCTAGTACTAAGCTACCTTATGATTTGGAGTTTTAAACACTTTGAAAACCCATAACTTTTTTTCTATTATAAATAGAAAGCTGAAATTTTCAATGATTTTTATCCCAGTGGAGGACTAAAATCCCTGAAAATTTAGGCTCATTTGGACTTACAGTTTCATAAATAAAATCGCGTCAAAAGCCTTCTGAAAGGCGTTTTGTAACTTTTAACCTAAATCCTAAAAATTCTGGCTAAAATGCTTCTAAAATATTCAAAATTTTCTGAAACGCTACAGAATGCTTTTGGAAGTTCTGAATTGAATTTTCAGTGTTTTAAACTTTCCATGAGGCTCATTAAAGTTCTAAAGTGCTCTGTACCATTCTAAATGGTTTCCAGTAACTTCTAAATTGGATGAGTAACGAATGTATGAGAAATTTTTGTAGACACACCCCTAAGATGTCCACTAACGACATTCAAGGCGTCTTGCTTACGTCTTCCAGCGGGCCGATCCTCGAGCCAGGGAGTTGAGCTCCTCGAGAGAACAAATTTTTCGTCTTTATCATTCTCATTCACTTTTCGATTACGTTGACAAAGACAAAACATTCGTTCTATCCGGGAGCTCTTCTCCCTGGCCCGAGGATCGGGCTTCTGGTGTCTTGAAGATATTTTCAAGACTAGAGCGAGATGTCTCAAAAACGTCTTTGAATCTCTTTTCAATACATAAACCATTTACCTATTCACTTTTAGGCCGGGTTTTACCAAATAGTTGTCTTTAAGATGTGAATTTACGACACCTCGTCTTCTAGACGTCTTTTTTTGGTCTTCAGACGTAATGCAGACCTAGAAAAGACTTAGGTAGTTAGAACTTTGTGTGCTGTCTGGGACATTGCATTAATTTACGCAACGCTTTAATAGGTAGGTGCTTTAAATTTCTATTTGGGGAGCAAAAATAAAATATTTAAAACCTTCACAAATATTGCAAAACAAAAATAATAAAATTTATTCATAAACTTTCCTGGTTTACAGGCAACTTTTAAATTAAGTAGGTATATGGACCACCAAAATATTATTTGAAAATTGAAAATATTTATATGGATGAAAAAATTTGCATTTTATATTAAATGCCTATTAATTTTGTTTGTCTAATTTAGTAATTATTAACAAATTAGACAAACAAAATTATATGAAAAGATTATGAAAAATTTAACACAAACAGGTTGTTGTTTGTCCTTCGTTCGTGTATCGTTGCCAGTCTCACAGTTCATGAGAAATATTTTAAAATAATGAAAGAAACAATTAATCATAGAAAGAACGAGTACTTCGAGTAGGTACTGTTTCACTAGGATCTGGAAATGCAAGAAGGGGCTATGGAAGGGGCTTCTAGTTCTAAATCCAGGCAGTCTGAATCAGTGAATCATAACAAATTCAGAAATATCGAAAGTATCGATATTGATATTCTCTCATATTAATATCGATATGAATTATGAAGAAAAGATTCTGAAAAGAAGCCGACGCCACTGTTAACGACCCAACTGTGAATAATGCTGGATTGCCAGATTGTTTCAAAATAATGTCAGCGACGATGCCAGCTAGTAAACACGAAAACTCCCATTTGCTTCTGTCAGATTTCAAAAAGCCATCTCGATCCAATCTACTCTCGGATTTCCAAATTGCTTTTTCATTCTCCCTCCTACGAAAGTAGATTTTTTTATCTTGCTTAGGCGAGCGAAAGCGAAACATGCTAGTAGTTAGTAGTTACTTTCACTTTCGCTACTAGCATGTTTCACTTTCGCATGCCTAATATTCACGATTTTTGAAGGGGAAGAATAAAAAGTTTGATACATTACACGCTGCAAAAGCCCTTTTAGGTGCTCGGAGGTATTCGCACCTAAAAGTACGCTTTTGCAGCTTGGAATGTAAATAACTATTACATGTCCTGGTCATTTTCTAGGCGGATAATAGAAAAAAGCTATTTTTTTGCTTATGAGAAATCGCTGCCGCTAAGGGGCCAATTACAGGTTGCGTTTAGAAATAGCACTTCGGGTGTGAGAGTGACCCTAAAGTAACTCTTAACCGTTCATAAATTAACAGGTGCTTATACTCAGAGCCTAACTTACGCTGGAATCGTTCAGAAATCGAGAGTTGACTTGCCCAGAGCCAGTTTCGGGTGCTCCTAGAACACTTCACACCTGTCACTGACCTGAGAGCCGCTTTCCAGTATGGACATTGGCGCGCTCTGGCGCGCTCTAGAGCACCTCGGGGGCGCCACGCACTAGATTTGTACCATTCCAGTATCATGACGTGAGACGCCTGTCTTAGTGTCAAATATGTCAAATTTTAAAAATAATTATCTGTTTGTTTGTGCAGTTTGTTTTTCTATTTATCATAAATGAAAGAGAATCAAAACTATATTTTTAAAAATGTTCAATCTTGAGATATAACAAGAAATAAATAAATAAATTGCCACCCACGGATGTGACAGCTGACAGGTTGACGCGTACGTACAGCTCGGGAGCACAACGCCCCCAGTAGCTCTGGGCGTCACACTCCCATACTGGAAAGCGGCTCTGTAATACTCCATGCGTTTTGCACCCGAACGCTTGAAACCGCATGGGTCAAAGTAACCGAAGTACTTCGGAGTAACTCGAGAGCACTCAAAGGGTGGCATTTGAAAGCAGCTCATAGTGCGCCCAAATTGCCCCACTCAGGAACTGCTCGAAAAACGCCCCGGCGTTTTTACTGTGTTCTACGTGATTTAAAGGTTATTTTCATATTGAATATTCTGATAGAGTGCTCCAAGATGAAGTTGAAAAAGGTTGAAATATATGAATTATGAGCTGCTTTCCAGTGCCTAAATTGTTAGAGTATCATGCTCCTGGAGTGTGACGCTCTTGAACTGCAGCTGGAACGCTCTCATCTCAACCCTCACCATTTTTCACTAGGAGCATGGAACACCAAAATAAAGGTTGGTGCACAAGGGGACAGGGGATAACAGAAATGCGTAGTTTAAGTGTACGAGACTCTAAGCACTGGAACGCGCAAAGCAATTGTAGACCACTCCTGAGCTGCTCAGGAGTAACTCAAATGGGTCACTGGAAAGCACCTATGGATATCAACAATAGGTGAGTTCGGCTTGCTCACTCCGTGCACTCGGAGTGACTCCATTCGCACTCCAGCCGTTCGGGTTAAGGTTCGGGTATTGCTTTTTACGGTATTAGGAGTGACTCCATTAGCTCTGTTCACTCCACTCCAACTCCACGCTGAATAGCCGAACTCACCCAATGTTGACTTTGCCGTGTTGTTGAAGAATAACGCTCTCTTTCTACATTGATTCAACAATAGGATCAATTCCTCTTCACTATCTGAAGCAGTTTCTTCAGATGAAGGATGTTCCAGCAAGAACTATTTTCCTTCGACCATACATGTACTTCTCACTGCCATTTTCAAAATTGTAGTGCAGTGTTGTTCTTGGGGAATTTTCGTGTGTGCCTGCAGCAACACTCAGATAGTGCCACTTTTAGTAAAAAGTGATGGGAGAGGGTTTTTTGACTTTTCACCTATTTCTTTTTATCACATGATTGAAAGGAGAAAGGTATAATATATTTCATGTAATAAATTTACTATAATGACAATTGATTACTGTCACTGTCACTGTCAGTTGTCACTGATCACACTAACATCCTCAGCTGTTGGATTCAATGAACTATAGCTAAAAACTGGAATGCGCACACATTGCCATATCTGCCAAAAAAATGAAGCCATGAAAGACAGATGCCACAAGGGGGAATGTTGTTTTTTTCTGTTGCTCGCTGTCATATGACGTTTTCGAAAATTTTGTCATATTTCCCTTCACAGGTTTCATCGATTGGAATACGTGTTGGAAGCAATTTTCGCCATTTAACATAATGAGTGCGACAAAAACAGGTATCCCCTCCGCAGCAGCTGCACTAGGCTTCACGTTCGTCCTTATGTGTTAACATTCCAGTTTTTGGTTATAGTTCATTGGTTGGATTCTATTTCACGAGTCGAGTCGAAATTCGTATCCATTGTCAAAATAGTGATTCTATTTTTTAATTTTTCAATCCGTATTACACGATACAGTCGTGAGAATTGAAAGTGGGACACCCGACTGACAGGTCTTGTCATTTTTCGCTATTTTGGGTATCAGTTTTTTCTGTACAACGGATTTCTTGTCAAATATGACATAAGCGGGTTCTCGTGTCGTCCAAATTTCAAATACCGTAACGCATTTTGACAAGTATGACAGTTCTTACGGTATTAGCGTTAGCGGAGCCCGCTACCTGACGGGACTTAGCGGATGTCTTACCGTAACGCTATCCTATGTCAAAATTAGTTTACTCTCCATTTACATCTCCAAGAACGGCAACTTCTTATAATTTCTCCATGAAAAACACCACAGAAAAATTAATCAAATTCAGGAATCTTCAAAATAGATAAAAGTTAGGAAACAAGCAAAAAAAAGTTGGGTTAGATCACTCAACTCAGCTGTCAAATGTGAACAGATTAAGTAGTAAAGAGGATTTTTGCGTCTTCGTGTCAACGTTTTACAATAGGAAAAATCGGGTGTTCCATTTTTTATGCTCACGACTGTACGTGCAGAGCTTTCGCATTCGATATCAAGTGTCATAACAGACAATTCGACTCGATTCGTAAAATAGAATCCGAAGGCAGATCCAATGACCTGACAGATCCACCACAACTCTCACAGATCAGACCTGAGGTCACTAGCACAGAAATGAAATGAACAAAAAATACAATAGAACAGAAATAAACAAAAAATCCTGCCCCAGCTCCAATTTTTCTCATCCAAAAAATTTGAAAAAGAATAATATCTAATAAATGTGAATCGTGCCAAATTTCTCAAAGTGGTGCCACCGTGCATTTTACGGGCGAAAAGTGCCACTTTTGGCACAATTGTGTCCTTTGAACAACACTGTTGTAGTGTTGCTTGCGTCCTAATTCATGACGTATTCTTGGCTGCGTTCAGATTGAACGTCGGTAGTCGCCCGAGCGCGCTCTGACCGTTCAGATTGCCTTGGGTAAAATTTACCCAGCCGTTCAGATTGTCAGTAGATTTTTACCTGACGACACCCCGACGCACACTTTTGCATCCCATAAAATAGTAAGATAAAATTTGCCCCGCATGCGCGTTTGTGTTATGTTTATGTTCTAACCAATAATAAAGGCAAATATTGTAAATATTATTGTTGGGAGTTATGGCGAGTTTATCCAACAAATAAAATAAAATAGGAAATAAATTAAAATAAGAATTGAGGGTTAAGAGGTATTATTTTATATGTGATAGTTCTACCAAAAAAATCAAAATAAAATAAAATAAGAGTTGAGTCGATTAAAGGCGATTAACCACTCGGTTATATTGACAGATGAACAATGCATTTAACGTCATTTATAACCGATTGGTTGACAAATGACGTTTGCTTCATTGGTTATCTGTCAACTATAACCGACTGGTTAATCGCCTTTAATCGATGCTGATTATCTTTGAATATTCTTTTTTCTAATTTTACAAAAATGTTAGAATCACGAACACAGTAAATTTTGAAAAGGCAACAAAATCAAAATCAAAGCATCCCATAAATAGTGATGTTATGAGGAGAGAATGCGTCTTGGCCCTTCAGATTGAGCGAATCGCCAGGCACACTCGGAGTGCACTCTCTATCGGGTACGCTCTGCACTGGACGTCGCCCAGACTCTTCAATCTGAACGCGCCCCTGGACATTTATCGCAACGCTCCAAAACGTTCAGAAATATCGCACCCAGAGTGCACTCCAAGTGATGACCTCAGAACACTCTGACAAACTACTCTATTATATAGAATTTGTTTGGTTCTAGAATGAGACCAGGCCCTCTTTCTCGCACTTATGAAAATAGAATGTTTAAAATCTGTTTTTTATTTAAAGATAAAAGTCAAAATGACATTATGTTGGCAATACAATGTAAAATTGTTAATGCTTTCAAATTTTGTATGTAGAAAAGGCTTGTGTTGCCAACATAGTTACTAAATTTTTGACTTGGGGAATTATCTTTAGAAAAAAAACAGCAGACTTTATAAACCAGTCTGTTTATGTTTTGGGTATCAGAGAGCTGCGTTCGAAAACCTGGTTGTTGGTGTGGAAATTATTTCAGGGAGTGCATCTTCAAAATGTGAGCTTAAATTTCACTCTAGAGTATTCGGTGCCCACATCAATACGTGTTAAACGCCCTTCCGAACGCCGAAAACCATATGATTTTAATTCACACTTCGCCTTTCCAAACGGCAGCTGTGTGATTTTTATACACTGATCTGCGCATGCACGCTCTAGCTGCCCACTCCACAAACTCGGAGTTTATCTAGCTCGCTCGGAGCGCTCAAAATATGTCAAATCAAACACAATCAAGCGTTGTCGGAGCTTCAAAAATAACAGAAGAGAGACAAAAGTGCAAGCTCTGAGTGCACCGAGCGTCAACCCAAACGCGCCCTATGTAAAGGTTTGTTCCGAATCGCTCCTTTATTCACTTTAGAGCAGAACAATATGTAGTACGATAAATAACAGGAACAGGATAGGAGTGTAATTTTACACACAGACTGTTCGATTTTCTTTTATTCAAGATTTAAAAAAAAAAAATTACTTTTTTTGCACTCAGTTCACGTAACTGCGCCACGAGGAGGGTGCTAAGCACCCCCTTATCCGACATCCCACCATAGCACTACCTAACATTAGGTAATATAAAATAATAAAAAAATAATGGCGTTATAGCACCCCTCTAAAGCCTAGTACTCATAACTGCGAAATTCGCTATTTTTTGACATTGCTTCGACAATTTGACGTTTCACGATTCACGCATAAAACGTCAAATTGTCACCGCAATGTCAAAAAAGAGCGAATTTCGCAGTTATGAGTACTAGGCTTAAGTTGGAACTAAGTTACGCCACTGCAGCCAATCTGCTTACTCTTGGACCGCGTTCAAAATGACCCTGGGCTTCAAACCGAGTGTACACCAGCCATGAATAATTCATTACTATAGTGTCGGTGTGACGTGTAGGGCGATTTCGAACGCACTCCAAAAATTTCAAAATTAACCAAAGCTGTTTTCTCGCGATGGAACTGGTTCGACCCGGTTCAATTAAGTTCGAACCTGTACATTCTTGCGTTGAACCAGTGACGTCACATTGAACCTGGTTCAAAAAATTTCGAACCGGACTCATGGCTTGTTCTCCGCTGACATAAGACTGTGGTTCAAACCTTCCATTTTCTCGCGTTCACAAGTGATGACATCATCTACAAATTGGTTTAAACGATTCTTGGTTTAAACCGTAGTTCGAACCATTCGCCCCGCGAGAACACGCCTCAAGACATTTGGGGTGACAATTGAAACAAGTGTAAACAAACGTCTGTCAAGACTGTCAAATATAAGTCAAAACACGTCAAAATAATCAGCTTGTAGAGTTCCACATTCCACTAGTGCGTTTCCAAATCGTTTTTGAGAAGATAAATCAAAATCAATAATCAATTATTTATTTTCCACACATTTTTCGGAATTTATTTCGTAGGTGTGTGTGTCCTTTGCTCGTTATTTAAATTTTCTCACCTAAACAAGTTATGGGTTCTAGCAGTAAGTCGAAATACAAGGAAAAAGAATCGACACCTTCGCGTTCCTCCAAAAGGCGTCACGGTAGTCCGGGGGCCGACGATTACGATGCACATCGCGAAAAAAGGCATAGACATCATAAACATCGCCACAACAAAGATAGGAAATTGGAAAGGCCCAGCGAAAGATCCAGACAGGTATATGAAGATAATGGTAAGTGTAGTGTAGTTTCACTTTTTCTAGGTATTTTGCTATTCCAGTAATCATGGGATTCTATTTAAACTTGCACAACTTTATGCTTAGTAGATTTATCAGTCAAAGATCCACATCCAGATTCTTATTTATTGTATTCACTTAAAATATATCAGGCTTTAGTAGAATCAATTTCAGATGTGGAGGTTATTTCTGTGGAAAACCCCTCAAACCAGAAAATTAATGCGGCAGAATCGTCAGGACAAGGAGCAGACAGCCTTTCAATTGCAGAAACCAACAGATTGAGAGCAAAAATTGGCCTGAAACCATTAGAAGTTGGTGGTTCAGATGCCAGCACGTCTGGGAAAAAAGACGATGGAAAAAAGAAAGATGACCTAGGTGAGTTTTATCACAAACCAGCGGAAAATTGGGCTGACAAGGCTCAGCGAGACAAAATCAGAAATAGACTTGCTGAGCATAAGGAAAAGAGGCAATTGCATAGTAAACTTGCAAAAGTTAAAACTCTTGGAGAAAGCGACAGTGATGATGATGTTTCAAATTGGGTGGACAGAAATAGAAATAGTGAAAAAGCTAAAATGGAAGCTGATAAAAGAGTAAGTAGGTTTATGAATCACATTGTTTTTTATTTTACATTTTTTTTTGTTGTTGTTTAATTAGGCTAAAATGTTGGAAGAACTTGATGCTCAATTTGGCATTGGAGAAGTCATCGAACAAGAACAAAAACAAAGGAGAAATCAACAATATACATACAAAGATTTAAGAGGACTAAGAGTAGATCATGATGTTGATACTTTTGCTGAAGAAAAGCAGGTCATATTGACTCTAAAAGATACAGGTGTACTAGATGATGAGGATGATGTTTTGGTCAATGTAAATATGATTGATAATGAAAAGTATAAAAAAGTAAGTTCAAGTTTGTATTAGAAAAATATTGTTTATTTCATTGGTGTTTTATTAGAATGTAGAAAACAAAAAAAAGAAAGTGCTGTACAATGCCTATGAAGACCAAGAATATGATGAATATGGAATCCCAAAAGAAAAATCCCTATTGGCACAATATGATGAAGAAATTGATGGAGAAAAGCGTGAAAGTTTTCGAATTGGTATTGATAATGCGGCCTTGAGAAGAAAAGCTGCTGTTGTTCAGTCTGTCAAAGAAAAATTGGCTAAAAAGAAATTGGAAAGCATTGCAGAAAAACAACTGACTTTGGCGTCTGAATACTATAACGAAGAGGAACTGGCCAAATTCAAAAAACCCAAAAAGAAAACTAGAAGAATTCGCGCTAAAGGAAAACTTACTGCTGAGAATTTACTTCCAGCACGAAAAGTTGAGGAAATTGGTTCTAGGAGAAATAAATTTAAGGTTGACGGTGATGAACCTGATATTTCTATTGATGATGTTCCTGGTAAGTTATCTTCTTGTACTTGAACTTTGCAACTAGAATTTCACTGTTCTAACATTCTAAGTAGCTCAAAATAACACAATCAATAAAAATTTTCAGATGTTGAAATGCCAACTAGTATCAAATTTGAGGAAGATGACAAGGATGATTTATTAGAAAAAGCTTTGCATAAATCAAGAAAAGTGAAACAAAGAGAAAATATAATTGCCAATATTATCAAGGCAGAGGTGAAAGAAGAACAATCATCCGAAGAAAATGTGGATGGAAACATTATTTTGAATTCAACTGCTGAATTTTGTAGAACTCTTGGTGAGTCAATCTAATTTTGTGATTAAAATATTTATCAACCATTGTTTTTAGGTGATATTCCAACCTATGGCAGAGCTGGAAATCGTGATGAAGACGAAGACTTGATTGATTTTGACAAGGAAGCTTTTAATGATGAAAAAAGCGATGATGATGATTGCGAAATTGTAGAACTTTCAGGATGGAATTCAGTAGATCCTAGAAATGAGGGTTTAGATTTAGCAAGATTAGCTCCACAAGTAATATATAAATACTTTGAATTGAATAGTTAATAATTAGTTACTTTTAGGAAGTTCAAATTTTGGATGAGGAACCAGATGTAAGTACTGGAATGGGTGCAGCTCTAAAATTAGCCATGAGCAAAGGTTATCTGGATAAGGAGGACAATAATCGTCCAAGTAATTCTCGATTTGCCCATTTGCAAGCCCAACACTATTCCATTGAGGACAAGAGTTATGGAGAGGAAGGAAATGAAAGGCCTGGTGGAAGAGGCAGAGAAAGATATTCAGGTCCTATCCAAGATTTCAAAGAAAAGGATAGTTTCAAGCCAAATGTTAAATTAGAATATATTGATGATGATGGGCATATTTTGAATTCAAAGGAAGCTTTCAGGTATCTCTCACATAAATTCCATGGGAAAGGACCTGGCAAGAATAAAGTTGAGAAACGTATTAAAAAGAGTGTTCAAGAACAGGTAATTTTTGTTGTATTGTTAGTTATTAATTGGAATCTAATAATGTTATTTTTCTTTAGTTGATGAAGAAAATGAGTTCCACAGACACTCCATTGGGAACTCTCAATATGCTGCAAGCAAAACAGAAAGAAACTCAATCACCATTTGTTGTATTGTCTGGTAGTAAGCAGCAACAGCAAACAGCGATTTCCAAAAGTAGACGTTAGGAGGCTTATTGATTACGAAGTTTCAATTGGCAGATTTGTGTATGGAAATAATTGGCTAGAGATAAATAATTTTATAATTAATTGGAATTTGAATAAATTGAATCAATATCTTTCCTATATAAAAGCCTTGATTGTTCCTCTCCCTTGAATTTGTGGAAATAATAAAAAATTCAAGAGCCTGTTATAGAAAAAAATATGAATGTCCTGATCATTACACATTCGCGTTTAATGATTAATGAATGACCAAATGTAGATAATTGATAATTTTGCAAAATCTTATCGATATGGACCATCATCGAGAGCGTATCGATAATTCGGTATATCGTATCGATAAGCCCTCCTCTAGTTGAACACTGTTGCCTTTTAGTACTACTTGTGCATTTCACAACTGCAGTGGTGCAGTTTGCAGTTAAATAGTTCTGTGTTCTGTTGCAGTTTTGTATTTCACAGCTTTTATATCAGATTCAGCTTATTTGCATCTTATTTGTGCTTTTTCTTCCAAAAATCTCCATGAAATTTTATAATAATCCATAGTTCATGCATAGCAGGTAAGTACCTTAGTAAGTACCATTTATATTTTGTAAATAGTAGGTAAATAATCTATCTATAGCAAAGATCTACAAACTAATAATTTCCTGTAAAATAAATAGGTATCTCAAATTTAATTTCTCTAGAATTTAGGATTTATTCACATTTGAATATCTGTCTATATAGGGTATAATGTACTACTCAATAACAATAATCAGCTGTTAATATTTCATCTATCATCATTAGTATCTATTATAAATTTCCAATGAGTATGTATACAGAGCTAACACAAGTATGATACGAAAGTACTTGAAGTACAAGTACAAGTTTTTTCTGTGCCTTTTATTGGAATAATATTGTGATAAATTAGAAAAACTTCAGTCCCTGTCAGTTACTTATATCCTATTCACAATCCCTAGTCCAAAGGTAAAGGTAAATTTATCACCTTTCCCTATCAAATAGCACTGAAAGGTGATAAATTTTACCTTTACCTTTGGATATCGAATTGTGAATAGATAATAATTGAAAAACTGCATTCTCTTTGGTTGACAAATAAATTATATAGGTAATAATGTAGGGCCGAATTTATAGTCGCTCCTTGAGGTTTCCTTGGACCTTAAGGAAGCCTTGAACGTTTAGAATTGACATGACTAACTTGTCAAATAGTACCAAGTGTCCATTCTGAACTCACGACCTTTAAGGCAGACTCAAGGAATGACTATAAATTCAGCCCGTACTGCCCTATCAGCCTTTTATGTTTTATATTTTTATTTATTTCTTGTTCAACTCTGGCTATTCACTACTTAACTCCGCATTGTGTTTTTGTCCCCTTTATTATCAGTGTGTTTATTAATTAATTGTGAACAATCGACGTAAATAAAACAGAGCAAATCATGTAATGACAGGTACAACAACTAACACTCTATAAAAGTATTCTTGCTATCTTCCTGAGTACCTATGTAAGTAGGTAGGTTTAATTTTATACACAGTGAGTTTGAGTTACATAGCCTGTGTATTAGATGCTATATACAGGGTGATGTATTATATAGCCTGATGTGCATTAACTTGCAGGTACCTATATCCTATTCACAATGTGTAATCCAAAGGTACAGGTAAATTTATCACCTTTCCCTATCAAATAGCATTGGAAGGTGATAAATTTTACCTGTACCTTTGGACTACAGATTGTGAATAGATAATAGATTAGATTATAATGATTTTCGTAGCTCATGCATCATTAGAACTGTGTTAGAAGTATTCCATTTTGCAGGTGGATTAGTACCTATCATTATATTATCTAATCCACCTGTAAATTAATGCACAGGCTACATACATCACCCTGTATAGTTAGTTAGTTACTAGCAGAGCTGGGCAGTAATTGCCTTGAAAGTGCTTGAAAAAGTGCTTCAAGCACAATAGTGCTTCAAGCATAGTGCTTGCAAGCACTTTTAAAATACAGTGCTCGGCAATTGGTAATCGAAGCCCTCTATAAAAAGTGCTTGGTAATTGGTAGTTGATTTTTGCATTTCAAGCCATTTTAAGGGCTTGCAAGCACAAGAGCTTGCAAGCACGCCAAAGGCTTGCAAGCACTAAAAATCAAATCCTTGGTAACAACTTAACGCAGCATAAGCTTTACTGTGATTGGCTGGTTGGAGTCTTGGCGTCGGTAATATGGAAACATTTGTGTTGTGTGTTGTGAATAAAAAACTTTGGTTTGATCATTTTATTATAACTATCATCTTATCAACATCAACCAAAAACGTTAAAACTTATTACATTTCAAATTGCGGCAAGCACCTGCAAGTAATCAACAATGATTTCAAGCACTTTTTGAATAATTGGTGCTTGGTAATTGAATTGTGCAATTACTTTCCTTGGTAATTGGTAATTGCAAGCACTAAGAATTTACAAAGTGCTTATTGCTTGATGCTGGCAAATCCTTTTCCAAAGAGCTTGGTGCTTGGTGCTCCAAGCACTTTTTTCGAGTGCTTTGCCCAGCTCTGGTTACTAGGTATAGCGGCTCTAATCTGTTTTCAAAGATTTTTGGTATTTCTTGAGATCATATGGTGGTAGAACCTGTCTTCATGTTGTCAATTGGATCCAAGTATCAGTGTTTCCAGAAACTGTGCAGCTAATGTTCTTTATTAGGTGTTGGTTGATTTTAAAGCCGCTTAATGTTCAAATTTATTATATTATTTTACCGTGATTCTTGTTAATGTAGAATTTTATTGTTTCCTAGTTGAATTGCTTTGAGTTTTTAGTAGGTACGTCTGGTCTTAAAAATCATTAATTACGAATCAATATACCTACTCAAAAGAGAGTAAATTCTCGAAATATGTCGTATTTTGCCTAGAATCTTTCTAGAAAACCAGAAATAACATCGTGTTAAGCAATTTGAGGTGATTTATCAATTTTTCAATTTTTCTGAGTACTTTTTTTCATAGATTTCAGCTTCAAATCTGAGAATAATTTAGTGTATGGAGTTTGGGGGATGTTGATTGACCATTAGGATACAAAATCTCGACAAAAAAAAATTTGAACCTTATGATTTAGATTTTAGAAAACTTTGAAAGGTCATAACTTTTTTTCTGTTAAAGATAGAAAGCTGAAACTTTCAGTGAATTTCTTCCCAATCAAGGGACTACAATCCCTGAAAATTTCAGCTCATTTGCACTTATAGTTCCTGAGATAAAATCGTGTTAAGCAATTTGGGGTTATTTATCAATTTTACAATTTTTCTATACCTTATGATTTAAAGTTTGGAAAACTTTGAAAGGTCGTAACTTTTTTTCTGTTATGGATAGAAAGCTGAAACTTTCAGTGAATTTCTTCCCAATCAAGGGACTACAATCCCTGAAAATTTCAGCTCATTTGCACTTATAGTTCCTGAGATAAATTCGGGTAGGCAATTTGGGGTGATTTATCAATTTTTCAATTTTTCTGAGTGCCTTTTTTCATAGATTTCGGCTTCAAATCTGAGAATAATTTAATGTATGGAGTTTGGGGGATGTTGATTGACCATTAGGATACAAAATCTCAACCAAAAAAAAATTGAAATTTCATCGTTTTAGTAAGAAGGTACCTACCTTATGATTTAGATTTTGTAAAACTTTGAAAGGTCATAACTTTTTTCTTTTATAGATAGAAAGCTGAAACTTTCACTGAATTTTATCCCAATCAAGGGACTACAATCCCTGAAAATTTCAGCTCATTTCAACTTATAGTTCCTGAGATAAAATCGTGATTTATCAATTTTTCAATTTTTCTGAGTGCCTTTTTTCATAGATTTCGGCTTCACTGAGAATAATTTAGTGTATGGAGTTTGGGGGATGTTGATTGACCAATAGGATACAAAATCTCTACAAAAAAATCCGATGTACAGTTTTTGAATAATTGTCATCTGATTATATAATTTTGTATATTTTCCTATAAATCTGCATTTATTGGTCGATCGAGTGTACGCCACTGGTGTCACCCTGTTTCATAAAACCCCCATAACCTTCCATGTTACTATAAATTCAATCCTCGGCAACTGCTCATATCTCTGTTAAATTTCAAGTAATTTGGAATAAATTATAAACCATTGGAACATTTAATTCTCTATAAATAAAGGTATGGGCTTAAAAGTACTTATATGTACTTGAAGTAGAATATCAAGTAATTTACTTCAAAAACTGACAGCTCTATCTGTATAAGTATTGCACTGTTGCCACACTTACATTTAAATAATGAAAAATTTAAAACTAAAATGTGTATGTAATACCTACTTCTAGATATTTTGAATTAACTGCCAAGATTGCCCTATAGGTAGTACCCAAGTATACAGGATGTCCAGAATAACTTGAAGTACATAGGGATTTTGGATACCATTAAGGATACAGGGTGGAGCAAATGGGGAAAAAGTTGAAGTCAAGTACCTACAAATAATCTGTCATCAACTTCTTTGAAACGGAATAGCGATGGGTACAGGGCAGTCAAGAAATTTTCAGGGTAGGTGTAGGACTGGATGTAATGTACCACAGGCACAGGGTAGTTGTTTTTTTTTTTGTACGTCACCAAACTCATTTTTTTCATATGGACCACCCTATATATTTTGAGGTTTTTGAAAAGAGCGTAAAATTTCCTAAATTTTGATATATCACTTTTTATCTTTATGTGAAATCTTATACAAATTATGTTTGGTCGAGATCAACCATTAGTAGGATCTCAGAAACGGTAAGAAATATAGGGTTGATTAAATTGAAGCAAAGTTGCGCAATTTTATGGTCAATAATAGAATACCGTTTTGAAATTTGATAAATTCCAAATACTTCCGGAGATATGCGGACACCCCGTATAATATTTAACATAAATATAACAGTGACATATCAGAATTTAGGAAATTTTACGCTCTTTTTGAAAACCTCAAAATACAGGATGTTGTTGATACTCTAATATACATTAGTTAAAAATATTTCTGATTATACAGGGTTCTTCGTTTATAGAGTATGCGACAAAAGTTTGTTATTTTAAATAGAACATGTGTATGTGATTGCATATTTGGATTCTACGTAAAATTCTGAGCAGATCCGATTTTACATTCCTATCTTAGATTTTCATAAACTATCATTTGACACCAACTTTGAATTTAATCCATGATTAAAAATTTCAGTTAAATTTAATCTCCGGTTAAATTCAAAGTAGGTGTCAAATGATAGTTTATGAGAATCTAAGATAGGAATGTAAAATCGGTTTTCCTCTAAAATTAACCGTTCAGGCTTTACCTGTCAAAGTTGCGAAAGGTCAATTTTCAACTGTCAATATTTCCAAAACAGTTAAACTTAGGTATAGGGTATATCACATGAAATCTGCTCAGAATTTCACGTAGAATCCAAATATGCAATCACATAAATAGTGTTCCATTCAAAATAACAAAGTTCTGTCGCATACCCCATAAACGGAGCACCCTGTATATTCAAAAATATTTTTAACTAATGCATATTAGATTATCAAGCAACTTTGTAATTTAATTTTTTTTTCTTGCTTGACCCTGTAAGGAGATATCGTCTGATATCGCACTAAGTGGACACCCTGTATATAGGGTGGTCCGAATGAGAAAAATGAGTTTGGTGTCGTATAAAAAAACCAAACACCCTGTATAAAAATGGATTATACATGAAAAAGTGTCCTAAGAAACCTTTTAGCATACTTAATTACATATCTCCAATAATATGAACTTATATGGGGCATGAAAAAATCGAGAAAATTCGAGAAACGCCCTCTGGAGGCCAAACGATTAGAAAACAGAATGTTGTTTTCGCCATTGATTTTCTCATTAAATTTGAGCTCCAGACACCTGGGCCCATTTTTTCTCTATCTGGACCACCCTGTACATGTAATGTATAAACAAGGATTTTATAAAACCCATATTTTTCTTTTATACCATGTATATCCGTTGCTATTCTGAGTTCAAAGCATTTGATGACAGATTATTTGTAGGCACTTGATTCTGCAACTTTTTTCTCATCTGGTCCACCCTATATCTTCAATGGTTTCTAAAATCACCATATACATCAAGTAATTCCAGACAGCCGGTATATTGGGAAAGAACATTACAATAATCTTATAAAAATAAATAACACTATATATTGAGATACCAATTTTTTGCTAAAGGATTTTTTGCTGAAGGATTGATACATGTTTCAGAAATTTGCAGTCAGTTCAATCATTTATCATTTATTTAACACTCAACCGAGCAGTCAGCAACTTACTTGAGTCTATTACAGAGAAATTATATGTAAAAATAACAAAAATATATACCTATATAAAAATAATAACTTAGGTGAATACGAGGTAAATAATTATTATGTTACAACAAATGTTTTAAATATTTTGCTGTATCTTTACATTTTCGAAATCCATATTAATTTTTAAACAAATTTTGCTTTTCTGAAAATGGTAAATGATAATCCTTTATGAATCAAGGTAAATATAAATACGACAAAATTTATCTAGTCTTCAGGCTTGAGAATTTAAATCCACCAAAAACAATATTATCTGTCTTCAGATCTGTACCATGACTCAGAAACAGCTCTACTGGTTCAATAAACGGTGTTCGGTTCCTGATTGCTCTAACTCATCCACCGAGGGTCCGGGCGTTAACAAGGAGTATTTCGATCTTCCTGCTGAACCTCAAGCTCGGAAGCGCTGGTTGAATGCTATACTCATCGAGGATGGTGACGATTTGAAAATTTGTGAAGATCATTTTCAGGTGAGAATCTCAATTTAAATATTCGCATTATATTACTGTACTTTTAAGTTTGGAATTATTGTATTGAATTTATAAATGTAACTCAATAATACCCACTATTGTTTGCTTTACGCTATCTGTTTGGATATATTAGGGTAAGTATTGTACAAAAATATACAGTTTATAGAGCAATTTGAAAAATAAATTTCTCTTCAGGAAACTGATGTTTTCCGGGACAAAAACAATCGCAAAAAGTTGATAATCAATTCTGTTCCTAGCTTATTATCTAAACCAAATATATGTACAAGGTGTCATGGTTTGAAAAATCCTTCATCCGTAAGCTCCATGGTAAGCTACCAGCCAATTGCTGTTCCAACGAATTATAACAAATCTTTTTTGTCTATAGAGCAAAACATGCCAATGTGAAAATTCTGTACTTACTCCAAAACAGCCTCCCAGTGAAAAATCTTCTGATGCAGTTCAATCTCCAGAACATCCAGTATTTTCCAATACTGCCAAAAAGTAGGTTAAAACTAGAGTTTTCTGCAAGACAATTATTTAAATGTTTTCTTTAGACCGCGTTTGAAATGGACAACACATGAGAAAAATATCCTTTTTAAAGTAATCAAAAGTTATGGAGAGGTCAAAGTGGGAGCTAAAATACATATCAATTGGAGGAATGTTGCGATTTATTGCCGGTAAGAATCTGAGTATCTACTTATTTATTTAGACAAATCACAAGGTATATTCTCCTATTTTTAGAGCCAAGGGATGTTTTGGTAATCAAAACGAACTGAGAAATGTATGGCAATCCATGCGTATCAATGCCGTCAAAGTTTATAGAAATGAAATATTCGGATCCAAATTGGATAGGAAAGTATCAAGGTTTCTCTTTGGAAAAGCTCCCAGGAAAAACAGGAGAAAGATTACTAATAATAATAATAATAATGAGAATGATGGGTAGGTAATTTCATATTTTGTGTAAAAATAATATATTTTTTTTTATTACAATTTTTATTATATTTTAGTGTTTCTAAAGAAATTATTGACACCTCAACAACTGAAGGCGACGAACAACGTAAAAGACAAGCAATGATAGAGAGTGCAGAAAAAGAAGAACTAGAGACTATCCCAACTGATTCTACAACAGAATCTGGTATAGTTGTTGAAGATATTGAAGAATACGACGCAGAGGAGGAAGATAGCGACGAATATTTCACTTTATCTGATGTAGAGGATTTCTATCATATTCAAATTCGTCCAAGAATAAATAACAATGAGGTAAGTAAATATTTTTTTTGTCTCAACTATAAAAAAATATCAACTTTCTTTTAGATCTAGTGGAGATTAGACGACTCACCTGATATAGTAATAATAATTATTAAACTTCTTGTATTAAGATACAAGACTTTGTTTGAAATTTATATGTACATATTTGATTTTTTCTCATTATATTTTTATAAATGTTAAGTAGAAAATATTCCCTAATAGTTGAGGCCCGACATGAATATTGTTATAATTCATTATAGATGTAATAACTACATATATTTATTTGGTATTACCAGAATGATTTTTTATTAATTATTAATAGTGTTATAATAATAAAAAAGTGAGCGAATAAACTTTATTAATTTGATATAAACATGTTTGTTTAATATGTCATATTCATATTATTATACCTAACAGGACTCCAAAGGCCTGTATGTTCATCTCTTCTGAAATAGTGCGGTCGGTTGTCTCGGAACACAGTTATTGCTGGAAATTGGTTGTCTTGGATGTACTTTAAAGTAGCTCTTATCTAAAATCATATTTTGAAATATTTGTAATTTTGTAGCTATTAATTATCACCTGCATAACAAAATGTGGTGGTTGAACTTCAGGCGAAGTCGACAATTGTTGCAAGATAAAATCGTCAGTCTGTTCCAGCCACAAATCAACGCCTCGTAGTGGCTCATAATTGAAAGGCCCAATCCTCAGAAGGCCTAGACTACAATCGTATATATCTAAAACCTGAAATTTGAATTTGAAACTAGTGCTCACAAAATTGAAATGCCCATTACTTGAGGAATTCCAGTTAAATGCCGTGCCATTCTCAGCGCTTGTTCTGGACCTTTATCTGGAAAAGTAGCTGGAAATATTTCTCCGGTTTTAATGTTGATGCCGATACCGTAAACTACGGGCCATGGTATGCCTCCTCTGAGTGTTGTGTTTAATTCTCCCAAGCAGGCCAATGTAAGATCAATTTCTACTGGATGTTTGTGGAAAACACCTACAATAAATATACGTATTGTCAAAGAAATTGGACAACTGATTCTAGATTTTACGTTGCTCTTTGAGAAGAAGGTCTGTCGCGTTTATTCTGGATTTTGCAAGAATAGTTTATGGATATATACAAGCCGATATTAGTTAGTAGTTTTCAAGTTTAAGATTGGCTGCAGTGGCGGTCCATACATGATTATCTGGAGGGGGTAATCGATGACGGAAAAATCATATATAAAAAATACTAAAAACTCAAAGCGATTGAGTTATTATTAATGGAGTTACGATTTTTTAAAAATAATGATGTTTTGTAAAGTAAGACTTTACAAACACTTTTTTCACTCAAAAACTAAAGTGAGTGGAAAGTTGAAATTTTGAGGACTTTTTCCTAATGATTCAATGTAAAAAATACTAAAAACTCAAAGCGATTGAGTTATTATTAATGGAGTTACGATTGTTTGAAAATAATGATGTTTTGTAAAGTAAGACTTTACAAACACTTTTTTACTCAAAAACTAAAGTGAGTGTGGAGTTGACATTTTGAGAACTTTTTCCTAATGATTCAATGTAAAAAATACTAAAAACTCAAAGCGATTGAGTTATTATTAATGGAGTTACGATTTTTTGAAAATAATGATGTCTTGTAAAGTAAGACTTTACAAATACTTTTTTCACTCAAAAACTAAAATGAGCGGGAAGTTGAAATTTTGAGGACTTTTCCCCAATGATTCAATGTAAAAAATACTAAAAACTCAAAGCGATTGAGTTATTATTAATGGAATTACGATTTTTTGAAAATAATGATGTTTTGTAAAGTAAGACTTTACAAACACTTTTTTCACTCAAAAACTAAAGTGAGTGGAAAGTTGAAATTTTGAGGACTTTTCCCCAATGTTTCAATGTAAAAAATACTAAAAACTCAAAGCGATTGAGTTATTATTAATGGAATTACGATTTTTTGAAAATAATGATGTTTTGTAAAGTAAGACTTTACAAACACTTTTTTCACTCAAAAACTAAAGTGAGTGGAAAGTTGAAATTTTGAGGACTTTTCCCCAATGATTCAATGTAAAAAATACTAAAAACTCAAAGCGATTGAGTTATTATTAATGGAATTACGATTTTTTGAAAATAATGATGTTTTGTAAAGTAAGACTTTACAAACACTTTTTTCACTCAAAAACTAAAGTGAGTGGAAAGTTGAAATTTTGAGGACTTTTCCCCAATGATTCAATGTAAAAAATACTAAAAACTCAAAGCGATTGAGTTATTATTAATGGAATTACGATTTTTTGAAAATAATGATGTTTTGTAAAGTAAGACTTTACAAACACTTTTTTCACTCAAAAACTAAAGTGAGTGGAAAGTTGAAATTTTGAGGACTTTTCCCCAATGATTCAATGTAAAAAATACTAAAAACTCAAAGCGATTGAGTTATTATTAATGGAATTACGATTTTTTGAAAATAATGATGTTTTGTAAAGTAAGACTTTACAAACACTTTTTTCACTCAAAAACTAAAGTGAGTGGAAAGTTGAAATTTTGAGGACTTTTTCCCAATGATTCAATGTACAAAATACTAAAAACTCAAAGCGATTGAGTTATTATTAATGGAATTACGATTTTTTGAAAATAATGATGTTTTGTAAAGTAAGACTTTACAAACACTTTTTTCACTCAAAAACTAAAGTGAGCGGAAAGTTGAAATTTTGAGGACTTTTCCCCAATGATTCAATGTAAAAAATACTAAAAACTCAAAGCGATTGAGTTATTATTAATGGAATTACGATTTTTTGAAAATAATGATGTTTTGTAAAGTAAGACTTTACAAACACTTTTTTCACTCAAAAACTAAAGTGAGTGGAAAGTTGAAATTTTGAGGACTTTTCCCCAATGATTCAATGTAAAAAATACTAAAAACTCAAAGCGATTGAGTTATTATTAATGGAATTACGATTTTTTGAAAATAATGATGTTTTGTAAAGTAAGACTTTACAAACACTTTTTTCACTCAAAAACTAAAGTGAGTGGAAAGTTGAAATTTTGAGGACTTTTCCCCAATGATTCAATGTAAAAAATACCAAAAACTCAAAACGATGGAAAGTTAAAATTTTGAGGACTTTTTCCTAATGATTCAATGTAAAAAATACTAAAAACTCAAAGCGATTGAGTTATTATTAATGGAGTTCCGATTTTTTGAAAATAATTAATGATGTTTTGTAAAGTAATACTTTACAAACACTTTTTTCACTCAAAAATTAAAGTGAGTGGAATGTTGAAATTTTGAGAACTTTTTCCTAATGATTCAATGTAAAAAATACTAAAAACTCAAAGCGATTGAGTTATTATTAATGGATTTACGATTTTTTGAAAATAATGATGTCTTGTAAAGTAAGACTTTACAAATACTTTTTTCACTCAAAAACTAAAATGAGCGGGAAGTTGAAATTTTGAGGACTTTTTCCCAATGATTCAATGTAAAAAATACTAAAAACTCAAAGCGATTGAGTTTTTATTAATGGAGATACGATTTTTTGAAAATAATGATGTTTTGTAAAGTAAGACTCTACAAACAATTTTTTCACTCAAAAACTAAAGTGAGTGGAAAGTTGAAATTTTGAGGACTTTTTCCTAATGATTCAATGTAAAAAATACTAAAAACTCAAAGCGATTGAGTTATTATTAATGGAGTTACGATTTTTTGAAAATAATGATGTTTTGTAAAGTAAGACTCTACAAACAATTTTTTCACTCAAAAACTAAAGTGAGTGGAAAGTTGAAATTTTGAGGACTTTTTCCTAATGATTCAATGTAAAAAATACTAAAAACTCAAAGCGATTGAGTTATTATTAATGGAGTTACGATAAGTTACGAGTAGAGGTATGTCGGTACTGGCAAACTTTGGTACTGGTGAGCCTATTAATTTATACAATGCCTTTAAAAATGCTTTATTTTGTAGAACTTGTCTCTTATTGAAATTTTCTTGTAATCAATAAATGTATCAAAAAAAATCTTTGTCTGGGAGGGGTAATTACCCCCTTTAAACCGCCCTTGCAGACACCTTGATGGAGACTTTGGAAACACCTCGATCCAGATAGACTTCTGGAAGCCACAGATTTAATCTTGAAAGAAGCAGACGAATTTGTGATGGATAATTATCCATCTATGGTCTGCGCCAGTAGTCTGTGGTTACAAAAAACGATGAAAGTCTTAGATTTTGTGTGGACTACCGTAAGCTTAATGACGTCACCAAGAAGGACAGCTACCCTCTTCAGAGGATAGACAATACATTAACAACTTTATCAGGCTCCAAATAGTTTTCCACCTTGGATCTTAAGAGTGGATACTGGCAAATACTGGCAAGTGGCAATACACAAAGATGACAAAGAGAAAACTGCCTTTAGTACCGGAAGTGGGTTATACCAGTTCAATGTAATGCCTTTCGGATTGTGTAATGCTCCAGCTACGTTTGAGCGGCTGATGGATCTAGTTTCGCGAAGCCTCATATGGAGAACTTGCCTGGTATATTAAGATGATGTCATGATCATGGGAAATGGGGAAAACCTGAAAAAAGTTTTTCACCGCTTCTGGGAATGACAACTTGAAACTCAATCCAAATAAGTGTTTTCTATTTCAGAGCGTGACAATATCTCAACTTTAACTGTTAAAAATAGAAACACTCACTCATAATCGAGAAAAATATATCTTCCGAATAGCTATGCGCATCCGTAAAACCTCCAACTAGTTGCAGCTCGATGCGTCCTTCAGGATAACCTAGGGCTAATTCTTGCACCCTTTGGATCATTGTGCAGACAGCTTCGTCAACACCGGATCCGTCGAGGTGAGCTAGAGCAACTGCACCAGATCCTGCAAAAAGTAAGTGATTTTCAGTAGAGAGTCAAAATAAAAATTTATCTTACATACCAGAGTGTCTAACTACTACAATTAGGCAAGTTGTGACATCATCTGATCCCAAGATATTGACATTTTCTAAAAAAAAAAAACCCGTAATACAAACTATAAATATTCTCAAATTAAATCTTGATGGAGTATATTATCCATTTTCATTATGTATCAAATTCAATTTGATTCTTACTGTCGTGAGGTACAGTAGCAGCCAGCTCTCTCTGTAACACATAAAGCAATCCGACAGGGCCTATGACTTTATTGGGTACTGACAGTAATTGAGCGGCAGTCTCGCGATATACTGGGTGATTCAAGTACAAGGCGCGACTGTCAGGAGGACAGTCTTCTTGTAGTACTCCATTCAGTACCAAAACCATGTTGGATTCTCTAGAAATGAGAAATGGATTAGTATTATTATATGCAGAAAAGTATAATATAGGTACTGGCTCATAACGAGAATGTTTACCTTTTTAAATTAGGTTGTTTATCTTGAAACACCAGTCCACAAACTGATGGACCCCATATAAATGATAAATCAGTATCATTAATTATTTTTATTCATTTATATTAATAAATGTGCCAACGATGTATTTGTGCAATATTGAGCACAACAACATACGAAGATATCTGAGAATCAAATAATAATTTTATAAATGGGAATTTTCAATAAATAGTGAAAGATAATATTTTGATGTATATTATTATCATTAATTTGTTATGTTTTCAAATTTTAACTAATTATTATTAATAAAATTCTACATATTATATGCTAGAAGTCTATCCCAATGTTTTGTAATTTTCAACATTATCCATTATCTTATAAATATATTAATAGTTTTTAATTGAATATTCTTGGATGAAGGACGTTTCTCATCGTCGTCATGTCAATCAAAAAATTACTCAAATCAAGTTCGAGTTAAAGAATGTGAAGAAAAGCGTCGACATCTTCAAAAGCCTTTATAGCAAGCCCCCTAAGATGGTACCGGAGTTATAAGTACAGCAGGCTGTCTTATTTATACGTTCGTTACCAATAAACATTTCTATACAAAGAGCGATAAGCATCGTAAGCCGATTTTATACGGCCCATTATCTAGATTTAGATATCTCGCGCACGAAACTCTATCTTTGGATGGGATCTGAGTGGATGGAAGAAAATGGGATTTTTTTTTTCTGCATAGCATGACAAAATATTAATTTGCTAGGAGCATGCAGTTCTAAAAACTCATTCATTTTCGAATACAAATAACTCTCATATTATAATGTTTCCTAAAATGAATGAATATTTATTCCCGGTGACAATAGTCAAGGAAATCTTCAACTTGAATGGATTTATTTAAATGTATTCGACCCTGATTAACATAGATTCGTTATCGCTTAGTATATTACTTGAAAAGGGTATAGATAGAGGATATTTTAAAATATTGAACAATGAATAATGGGTATTTGCTACAAAAAAAGATATTTAAAAACGCTGAAAACTCTTTCCACAGTTTCAAAAAGACTGGAAACATAGAATTTCCTTATTCAGAAGTGGCAAATTTGACTCACCTCAGTCTTTGTGGCAAAAAGTAACAATATTTTGTGTTATGTTGTCTTTCATAAAATATCTGAATGTCATTCTTCTGCCATTTAAAATGGTTTTTGTATCTGAAGCAGCCAGTAGAAAAAATTAAGTCTTTTTTGGGTAGATGGGAATGTATATTTAAATGATAAAAAGTATTACCATTTTTACTCCCTCCTACAATAGAGAGAATAATATTTGGGATTTCAAATGTTTCCAATTACCCAGTAAACCGATCTGTTACCTACATTTACCTACGTTAATTTTTGTATACATTTTTTAACAGCATTAGTTTCATGTCAAGTTTATGTAAATATATTATGTAAACTAATATAGGTCAATTCTGTGCCCATCTGTAAGCAAATCTATACCTTTCTATAAGCATAATATAGATACCTTGCGCTTTCTGTAGACGTTTACAAAAATCTTAGAATTATCATGTTTTTACGATTCTATAAACACAATTTTACAGATCATCGTAAACTATGGATTTACGATTACTATATGATTATTCAAAAACTGTACCTACATAGGAAACTGTATGATTTTTCAAAAACTGTACTGTAGGATTGAATTCATACCAAAATGGAAAAGTTGAGGGGAAACAGGAAAATACCAGTAGAACCATATGATTCATACGAAAATATACAAAACTGTAACTATGAATTTGTAGAAGTTTTACGAGTGAATCCGAGAATTGGAAAATACAAGTTTATAACTGTTTATATGTACCTAATGTTTACCTAAAATATCAAATATAGCATTAACATAACTGTATCAGAATCAGGACCAGGCAGTCTCAGCACTCATTTTTTCAATAAACTATCTAGTGCTATTAGGAGTTTACCATTAAAAATATTTAAAAAAAAAAGATCAAAGATTTCCTCATCAGTCAAGCATTTTTTGATATTTCTGATTTCTTAAGTTTGGACTGTGATATTACCCAATATTAAAAAGTGTTGTAGTTGTTAAATATTTGTATATTTTTTTTTTTAGCAAGTTACGTATTGTCCTAATGATTTCAGACTACTTATTTGTATTTTATATTTAAATTTGTATTTATATATGTATCATTCTATTATTTTATTGATTATGACCATAGCACATTATTTTGCTGTGAGTTTTATATTATTACTGACTTGTGTAAGCATAATGTGTATGAACACCAATAAAGAATTTGAATTTGAATTTGAATAGTGTACATTTTATATAAATTTAAAATTTTGTTTTCTCTTCTTTTTCTCTAAGGCATATGCAAGAAAATTTTATTTTTGGAAATCAGAAAAACTCCCAACTTGTAGCTCTCGATTAGAGCTACAAAAATGGTTGTAAGACTCCGAGTCTAAGGGCTTCGTTTTTGAGAGAAACGGCTTCTAAGCTTTTCCAAAACTTGAGACAAAGTTTCAACTTTGAGCCTTAATATCTCAATAACTATTTGAGCTATGAATTTAAATTTTGTTTTATCTCAAAAAGCATTTAATTCTAATTCTAAAAATATAATTTTGTATTGGAATTTGTGAAATATTATCAGTTATTGGCGATTTTGTGAGGCAATGTCAAAAAATCCTTTAAGACCAAAAATTCCCAATCAATTTTTAATTTTTTACAAGCCCTAAAACTTTGAAAAAATAAATTGAAAAAGGGCTTTTCCACTAATTTTGAACTCCTTTTTCGATTGGTAAAGTCAAAAATTTGAAAAACCAAAAATTTAAAAATTGAGTTTTTCCAAAGGGGTATGCATGGAAATTCGATTTTCAAATATTTCAAAGGGCCATATTTTTGAAACCGCAAAAGCTATTGGCACGTTATTTGTCTTAATTGTAGCTCTCAATTGGAGCTTTAAAAAAAGGTATTTAAGACTCCGACCCCAAGGGCTTCGTTTTTGAAAAAAACGACTTTTAAGCTTTTCCAAAATTTGGGACAAAGTTTCAACTTTGAGCCTCAATATCTCAAAAACGATTTGAGCTTTAAATTTAAATCTTGTTTCACCTCAAAGAGCATTTAATTCTGATTCTAAAAATATTATTTTGTGTTGAAATTTGTGAAATATTAACAAAGTTATTGACGATTTTTTGAGGCAACGTCAAAAAATCAGAACCTTTATAAAACCAAAAATACCCAATCAATTTTTAATTTTTTACAAGCCCTGAAACTTCGAAAAATTAAATAGCAAAAGGGCTTTTCCACTAATTTTGAACTCCTCTTTCGATTGGTGAAGTCAAAAATTTGAAACACGGAAAATTTAAAAAATTTCCAAAATTTTTCCAAAGGAGGGTATGTACCTATGAGTGGAAATTCGATTTTTAAGGGCCATATTTCTGAAACCGAAAAAGCTATAGGCACGAAATTTGTCCTAATTGTAGCTCTCAATTGAGGCTTCAAAAAAGGTTATTTAAGACTCCGAGCCCAAGGGCTTCGTTTTTGAGAAAAACGGCTTCTAAGCTTTTCCGAAATTTGAGACAAAGTTTCAACTTTGAACCTCAATATCTCGAAAACTATTTGAGCTATAAATTTAAATCTTGTTTCATCTCAAAGAGCATTTAATTCTGATTCTAAAATAAAATTGTATTGGACTTTGTGGAATATTAATAAAATTATTGGCGATTTTGTGAGGCAATGTTAAAAAATCAAAACCCTTTAAGACCAAAAATACCCAATCAATTTTTAATTTTTTACAAGCCCTAAAACTTCGAAAAAATAAATTGCAAAAGGGCTTTTCCACTTATTTTGAACTCCTCTTTCGATTGGTAAAGTCAAAAATTTGAAAAACCAAAAATTTAAAAATTGGAGTTTTTCCAAAGGGTATATGCATGGAAAATCAATTTTGAAATATTTTAAAGGGCCATATTTCTGAATTCGAAAAAGCTATCGGCATGAAATTTGTCTAAATTGTAGCTCTTGATTGGAGCTTCAAAAAAGGTTATTTAAGACTCCGAGCCTATAAGGGCTTCGTTTTCGAGAAAAACGACTTTTAAGCTTTTCCAAAATTTGAGACAAAGTTTCAACTTTGAGCCTTAATATCTCAAAAACTATTTGAGCTATAAATTTAAATCTTGTTTTATCTTAAAAAGCATTTAATTCTGATCAGGAATATATAAATATGCATTAGAATTTGTAAAATATTAATGGAGTGATGAGCGATTTTGTGAGGCAATGTCGGATAATCAGCCAAAAATGATAATATTATGTAAATATAAATTTTACATCTATTTGAGCATGATATTATGCGTTACATTTGAGTTAAATTTTACCTTATTTTTGACTTGAAAAAAACGTATAAATTATATTTAGGTAAAGTAGTTACATAAATTTCTACTTTAACTTTACATAAGTGTGTTTACTGGGTTATATTCCTCTGAGTCACTTAACTAATTTTGAACCAACATCTGTATCAAATTCATTTAGGTATAATTCTTATTTAAAACTTTTTCCTAAAAGTTCAGGTATTATTATTACTTCACTTTTTTCGTTCATACCAGGTACCTAAAGTATTAGAAGAAATAGAGGATAGATTTGAATTTGTCATTTTTTGTTGAAAAATCATCTATTGAATTACTAGATTATTATTATCCTTTAAGTCTTTTTACTTCATATTATTGTTTATTGTAGTTCACTATATACAAACATACAAAAAGTGGCGGCAACTTACCATCATACCATTACCAAATCATCAATAATGGTAAATTTTTCATTTTCGTTTAAAAAGATTGGTTGCAATCCTCTAAAGTTTAAAGATTTTTGTGTTCAATATGTTATACTTAGTTAAAAGCTGATAGTACTTACATAAGAATGAGCTTTTGTGTTTGAAGTTTTTAAAAATACTTATATGCGAAGAAATTGTTGAATAATGATATTAAAATTTAGGCTTAGAGCCTCTTTTTTGATTTTTTGTCGAAAATTGAAATATACATTTGATGAAAACTTTCAACTGGGTGAAGGATATTTTTAAACTGTAATCAGGCAACTTAAAAAAGTAAAACTTACCTTAATTATTACAAGCACTGTCAGTCAGAATTAAAAACAAAACTCTTTTATAACTTAACTATAGAACCAGAAAGAACGGACGTGGTGCCTCGAGGTGCAAAGAGCCCAGAGTGACGGACGACTGCTAAAAGCGAGGCAAAGCTAGAAAAGCAGTAAAAGCTCCAAACCGCCGAAGATGGTCTACTAAAAACAAACCTCTGTGCTGTGGAGGCGCGGGAGTAGGAAAATCAAAACGACCGACCGATAAATCAGAGGCAAAAGGTCGGCATAAGGTTGATTATGGACAGAAGATGTCAACAGATTTCTTTTTTATTTGTATTTATTGAGTACCTACTACTGGAAAGTAGCAAAAAAAATGGCAGCCTACGAAAAAAAAAATACCTATGATGATTTGTTTTTTAGTTGTTTCATAATTTTATTAAATATATAGGTAGGTACATATCCATTATTAGTAATCACCTTTTTTTGATTAGAAAGTTGATTGACTTACCTGTAAGGAGGATCAACTTTAATTTTGCGAGCTTTTCTTCCGAAGGTAATTACACTCGTAGTATCGCTGATTCATACCTGGCCGGTACATTTCAAAGCAAAAAAACTTCTAACATAAACATAAACACAAAAACCAACCCAACGACAAAGGAATGTCGTGGCTTCACTTCGTTATTGTTTGTCTATTAATTCAGATCGCACAGGGCATTATGGGTTTGGGGGGGTTTGTAATTACCTTCGGAAGAAAAGCTCGCAAAATTAAAGTTGATCCTCCTTACAGGTAAGTCAATCAACTTTCTAATTTTACTTCGCTTTTCTTCATTGGTAATTACACTTGTAGATGTTTAAAGAAAACAGTGCGATCTGAAAATTAGATCTACAAGATGTGACTATAATAGATTACCTATTAAATAATAGTCATAGTCTTCTCAACAACAATATTATTTAATAACCACATTTATGATAATAATAATAATACCTAATATACAAAAAAAAAATCCCGTTATAATTTCTAACAAGTAAATTGCTTTCATATTATAATCTAGTCCTAGCAGTATACAAAATTATGTAAATATTGACTATTAATTTTTTGTCTCTATTCCCAATATATTTTTGGCAAATACAGTTGTATCTTCCATTACTGGACGATTATAGAACTTATTGAAAACATTGGATTCTCTTGACCAACCTGCTGTGTTTCTAATAGTATCAATATTAACACCTAATCTAAAAGCCATAGAAGTCGATGCATGACGAGTATTGTAACCCTTAAAGATGTCTGTATTTATTTACACCACTACACTTCAAGACGTCTTTTAACCACCTACTAATGGTTTGTGATGACGCTTGATGGTATGGTTTTTTATGTGTTAATATTAGATACGTATTATTTCCTCTAATCTGTTGTGTTTCAACAATATAATACTTAATTACAGAAAAAACACATAGTTCGGGACATTCCTCAAATCTAGGAAAAATTAGTACGGGTTGGAGCGTATTTTTTCCCGAAGTTTTTATTTTTTCGCTTATCTTAATTTCTATTTTATCCTTTAAATCTATTATATTTTGTAAAGTTATCTTTGACAGTGTCTGAACTCTGTGAACAGATGTTAGAGCTAACAACATAACTAACTTTTTTGTTAATAACTGTAAACTTAAATTTTCTAGAGGGTGAAGGCTTTTCAAATAATCTAGAACTGGTTTTGTATCCCAGGTGAATTTATATTTCGGTTCTGGAGGCTTAATATTATAAACTCCCTTTAAAAATCTGCTAATTATTTTTTCATGTTCCGAACTTTGTGGGTTTATTAAGTTAAGAGCTGATCTATACATATTTATTGTTGAATATGATAAACTATTATTCAACTGTGTTTGAAAAAATGATAAATAGTGTCCCAAATCAAATGTAATTGGGCAAATGTTCCTAATTCTACAATATGACCACCAGTTTTTGTAACATATATTATATTGGTCGAGTGTTCCTTTACTTATAGATGCATTAATGATAGGAATAGCAGATCCTGGTATTCCTCTCTTTACCATTGCTCTCCGGATAATTTCCCGGCAACCAATGTAAGACTCATATGTAGTGGATGAGGGGTTCTGAAAGGCGAGAACAGTAGTTTTTTATTAGGTTTAAAAATAATAGGATCGCATATTAAGAGTCTTTTAAAGAGGGGAAACCACGGTTGTGCTTGCCATAAGGGCACTAATAAAATTCCCACAGCTTTGTCTTTTATTATTTTGTTGAGAGCCTTCTGAATTAAACAAAAAGGTGGAAAAGCATAAAAAAATAAATTCCATCTGATTGTGAAGGCATCTATGTAAGTTGAATCAGGATCAGGGCCCCAAGACACATAAATTTCACATTTAGCATTTTTCTTTGAGGCAAATAAGTCAATTTCTGGTCTTCCAAATTTATTGCAAACCTGTCTGAAAACTTCTTGATTTATCTCGTACTCTGTTTCAATAGCCAATGATCTTGATTCAACTTCTGCATGAGTGTTTTCTTTAGATGGTATATACGGTGCAAAAATTTGAATATTACGAGTCTCCACACCAATCCCAAATAGATCTTGTTATCGTATTTAATTTCTTATGCTGAATACTCCCCTTCTTATTAATACATGCTATAGCTGTCCTATTATCTACTCTCAACAAAATTTCACTATCAGAAAAACCTCTACCAAAACATTTCAACGCATAGAAAGCCGCTACCAGTTCAAGATAGTTTATATGACATCGTTTTTCATTCTCTGTCCAAAAACCGTGAGTAGATTGACCCTTGCAATACGCTCCCCACCCTGAATTGGAGGCAACCGAAAATATCTCTAGAACAAAATTTTGATTGCTGGAAATAGATTGAGGATTGAGCTGAACCTTTAATATGATTTATCCACCAATTTAAGTCATTATTTACATATTCTGGAATTTTTATAGTTGCATTATAGTTTTGATGATTTTTCAGAGATAAGTATTTCAACCGTTCCAGTTCTTTTATGTGTATCCAACTATATTTTACCGCTGGACAGGCGGCTACTAATTGACCAATTAATCCTGCTAAAACTCTAATTTTACATTTGTTTTTCTTTTTTAATGCAATCAGATGTTCTCTTTTTTATCTGAAGGCAAGAAAAATATCATATCGACTGTATTGAATGTAAAACCTAAAAATTTTAGTTCTTGAGTTGGTATTAATGAACTTTTCTGATAATTGATTATGAAACCTAAACTTTCAAGTAAATTGATACACTCCTTCACTGCTGATTGGCAATAATTTTGTGTTTTTTCTATTATTAAGATATCATCTAAATAAATAGTAAACAAGATATTTCTCTGTCTTAAAAATGAGACAACTGGTTTTAGCTTGGTGAAAATGAATGGAGCTAAATTTAAACCAAAAGGTAAGCAATTACATTGATATCTCATTCCATTATACAAAAATCTAAGGTATTTCTTATAATTATTGTCAATTGGAACCATGTAATAAGCGTCTTTCATGTCAATATTAGCCAGAAAGGATTTAGGGGTAATTAATTTTAACATATTTCTAAAATCTTCGATCTTGAAATGTGGGGCTTCAATGAATGTATTTAAATCTTTCAAATTTAAAATAAATCGTCTTTTTCCATTAGGTTTTTTGATTAAAAAATAGGAGGACAAAAATTCCCCTGCTTCATATTGACACCTGGACACCGCGCCCTTTAACAATAAATCATCGAGTGCTTGATCGTAAAGTAATTTTTCAGCTTGCGAAAACTGTACCTTTTTTACAAATAATTGTTGAGGGTAACTTTTTAAAACTCCTTCTACCCATTTTAAGACTCTTTTATCAGTGGTAAGTTTTCTCCACTCGCTTGAAAAATACTGAATACGTCCTGCATAAATTTTATTAACCTTATTATTCACTAACGGCGACTGTGGTAATATTTCTTGTCCGTCTTGTCCTTCTTTTCTGTGTATTTCTTCCTGAATTTTTGATTCGGGCGCTTCCAGTTAAAAATACTTATTTTGAGAAGTATTTGTATTGTCATATTGTTGATGACGTAAAGCCTTTGTAGCTCCTTGTAGGCTTTAATTCGTAACTTGTCTTCTTGGCTGCGTCAATGGCTTTGAGGTCAGATACGAAGTCTTTTCCAAACAATAATTCATCGGTCTTACTTTTTTCTATTAGCTTTCTTGCGGATTGTTTTAAAAAGGGCATGATGGTATATTTTCTGTGGGTAGAAATGGAATGATGTACATTACAGACTAATTGAGAAACATCTGCCAACACAGTGAGTAATTCTTTGGATTCCTCGCTTGGATTTTCCAATAGTTTGTTCATTTGAGAACCCCAAAGCTGCTAATGCATGTCCTGTTCCATCCTGCAATACTGTCATAAATGTATCTTGTCTCAGTAATTTTTCATCCAAACATGATGTTACTTCTTGTACCAAAATTGGTGATTTTAATAAAGGACAATTCGCATACAGCGGATATTTTTCCAAAAGTTCGTTCTTTTTATCTTTATCTATACCTTGTTGTAGGTATAGCTTGTCCATCTAATGGCTAATTCGTCGTGCAGGGGGTCAGGAGCCATGTTTGTTGATTTTGTTTTCAATCCCAAAAAATCATAGTCTGCATTTTTTGATGCATTATCTGGAGTCGTATGGACGTCTGCAGTAGTTATAATCTGAATAGATTGTTGTTCATCTGATGCAGGAGTCTTATTTAATTTTTAGCCTCAATTGAGGTAGGCATAAAATTGCTTAGTTTAACGACCAAGTTTCAGGGCTATCATTAGTAGTATAACGACTACTTTTTATTTGGTTTTACATCAATCTGTAATATTGTAACATAACGGTTACGTGGATGTTCATAATAACCAATATTTTTTCAGCACCAAACATTTAATATTGAGTACTTACATTCGCTCTCAGAATCAGAATCTCCCGATCCACTGGAGCTTTCATCTGAATCTACCCTTGCTTTTAATTGTTTGAGAGCCTCTACGATTTCGTCGTACTTCCTTCTTCTTACTTTTTTAACGTCGTCCCTCGACATTTCATTTCTTTTCCTTTTTGGCATATTTAAATAAAAGAAAAAAACACTTAAATCACTTTTTTAAATAACACTATTTTAGCGAATTTATATTCGCACTTTTACCGGCAGGTACAAATAACGAAGTGAAGCCACGACATTCCTTTGTCGTTGGGTTGGTTTTT